TGAGCAGGAATAACTACTGATGACTGGCTCCTTCACTGCAGGCAGCTTGGGGAGCCAACAAATCTGCACTGTTGTGGTTAATAAGAAGTATAAAGTTAGTTTTAGTTCCAAAACTTATTTCCTCTGGCTTGCTTGCTTCTCCCTACTCTTCTTCTTCCCTCTTGAAGAGGGAAATACTTAATTCCTCTTGAGCTTTACCCTGCTTTCTGTCATGGTGATGAGGAGCCCTCAGTTTAAAAGCAATAAATAGTCCAGTGGAGTATGGCATATTTATTTAAGTATTTAAAAAAGCAGAAGTTACTTTGGTAAACGTGGTAAACCCTAATGCTTGTACCAACATAACAAGGGTGCATGTTCCCAAGTAAAAGCTGAGGGTATTTTGACCAGTGCCTGGGAGCACCCAGTGCCTCTGCACTGCCCTTTTGCTCTTGCTTGGATGCAGCTTGAACCAGCTGACACCTATTGAAGAAATAATCCTACAGGCATTTTGATATGCTTGTAGTATCAGTGACTGAATCATTTGAAACTGAAATAATGTGTTGCTGGTATGCTGCAACTATCTATGTTATCTCTTTTAATGTCACTCCGACAGAAGCAAGAATAGTAAGAATTTTTGCAGTGCCTATGTAAAATGAGAGAAAATGGAATTATGTGTGTCCCTACCTTCTCCCATGGGCATATGAGCACCCTGTGGCCTATCCAAAAAGTCTCTGGAGATAAGTACCTCATGGAGATCTTAGCTGTATCGATGGTCATCAAGCATTACTTGACATGACAACCAAATGCAAGTTCATTGTTGAGGCTGTCTTCAGTTCTTCACCCTGTCCTAAAGTCTTAGGAAGAACTCAAGAACTCAATTAGCATTAGCTAATTAAAGTTCCTCAAGACTCATTGCACTGGTAGGTGGTAAGTTAGTGTTGGATTCCTGAGCGACTGAGCATTATGTGAACATGTGTTGAAATAGTTTGTTTACAACTTGAGCATGTCTCCCCAGGCGTTAGCATAGTTCTTTGCCAAAGCTGAAATTGCTCACAGAACAAATTGCTGAAACTTTGTACCTTATTTCATGAGCTTACCTGTGTTTACTTTTCCTCTCCTCCTCCTTCCCTACCCTAACTTCAGGGTTCTTTGGAAATAACACAGAGTTTAGAAGATGATCCTCTACTTGATGCACCGCTTATTTCGTCTCATGCATTGCATTCCCAGCTGAGGCCAAGATTTCGTGCTATCCCAGCAGTCCTTCTTGCCAATTTTTTGTTGTTTATACATGTAAGTGTAAGAATGTGGTTTCCTCATGCAAATTTACTGCCTTTATTATGAATTCTTACTGTTCATGCAGACAGTTTTCTCCTGAGATGTAAATATGTTGTTCTTGCAAAACAAGCAAAACCTTGTTCTCCAGCAAACACTGATAATGCACGTGCTATGTACTGATCACATGAGTCGTCGTTCTGATTTGTTTTTCAGTGCTAGCAAACTGTGAGAGATCTTGGAATGCTGGAAAGAGATGTCTTCTGAAAAGTAGCTTTTTAAAAAGTGTTTCCACTAGCATAAAATACTGCTGCAATAGTAGTACTTAGACCAGATCTAAGATCATGTTGGTCCTGTGCCTTGTTGAGGCTGGACTTCATTTCACAGGGTATTTAGTTACATTTTTTTCCTCACTGTAACTAAGTGGCAGTGCATGGAGAAAGAAAGGAATCCAGGTGTTATTTCCTACTCTGGTTAACATCTGGGGCTTGAGGAGGAGCAGCCTGGAAAGTAAATTCCACAGGTCTTGCGTCTAGGACTTGCTGAGGGCTGTTAGACAAAACTAGTTCCCTGTCTAGTAGTGAGCTTATCCTTGATAACTGCTGGGCAAGTTTATTGGTGCTAGTGCACATATGGAAACCAAACTTGGAAAAGGAAGAGTGAAGAGCTCTGGCAAAGCTGATGTGAAATGGTGCCTGTGCAGTGGTGTAATTGCTGCTCATACAGATCCGAGGACAGGTGTGTAAAGCCAGGGTGCTAGAGAGCTGCAGGTAGGTGGCACTAGCAGAACTGGGGATTTGTCTGATCTTAAACAAAAAAAATACCTGCTTTTCCAGGTTAAGCTTTGCTGCCTTTGCTGAAGCAACCTAATGCAGCAGCCAGTCCATCTGTGGATAAAAATGGAGAAGCATCATTTATCCAAAAAAAAAAAAATGCAGCAGTGCAATTTTAACATGAAATGGCACTGCTGCTTGCTGAGAAGAAGCATTTTTTGTGCATGGGGAAAGCAAGCTTATTGGTTTCCTCTCCTTCCCCTCTGCTCATGTGCTTAAACCTTATGGAACGTGGAGACCTCAGCTTAGTTTCTGAGGTGGAGCCTATCCAAATGGCAAGGGTCCTGGAGAGGTTATAAGGAATACCACTGGTATGTGGGTCCATATGATGCATATCTGAAATCCTGTGTGCAATGGGAGTGTTTCCTCTCCCTCATGTAGTGAGGTGTGGGGTTAGGCAGCAATAGCTCCTCCGCAGCAGTTGCCTTGTTGGGCCCTGCTCTTGAGAACGGGGGAAGGCTGTGCTGCTGCTGCATGGTGTGAGCTGTTTTTTTTCTTTTGTGGCTTTTTTTGTTGTGTTTTGCTTCTGTGAAGGCTCCTGTGTAGGAGATGATGCACACAGAGCAATGTGAAATGCACAGGCCAGAAGTAACTTATTTACATTAACCCCTTATTTCTCAAGCTCCTCCTGCATATAGACATACTTAAAACCTTATCTCTTAAATTTTGCTGCTGTTATGATGAGCTGTATTATATAGATTCCTCACATTGGGCTGAAGTGCCTTTTGTTGGATAATCCTAAAATGTAAACAAAGCATCTGTAATATGTAATTTTTGAGAGCCATCTGCTCCCTTTGCACATGTTGCTATAGTAGATTAATGCAGCTGCTGTGCTAGGCTATTCCAGTTAAATATAGCACTTTTATCTTCAAACATTATAACACCCAAAGTAGTCAAACTGAGTCTGTTTCTCTATTAAAATGGTGAAACTAATACTAAAAGGGCTATTCCTGCCCCTTTGGAGTAGATGTTAAAGTAACTTAAATGTGTGTTTTGCTGATTAAACTCCTTATTTCACTTGAGCTGGCCACTTCTCCCATAGCCAAGATGACTTGAGGTTTGAATGTGTTTCAAGTAGTGGCCTAATGGATAATACAGGAATGCAGTTTTCTCCTCCTTGTCCCCCTCCTCCCTGGTACTGATGACTCCAGTTACTGTTGTTTAAATCCACTTGCAACCCAGGCAAACTAAAGGCAGCTCGTATAAAGAGTAACTGAGTGCTTTTAGAAGGCTGATATCTGTGAACAAAGCTTTCAGAAGTTCCCTAAATTCATTTTCCCCCATTTTTGTCACAAGTTTATTAAATAACCATAGGCTTAGGTCAGTACAGATGAACTCTTGCAAAAAGAGACCTTTCCTTGAGCTTCAGCTCTGTTTCTATTGATCAGGTGACAATACTGTGGGGTTTTTATTGTGGTTTTTAAAGCTGAGTGTAGGGACATCAGAGCTTTGTAGACTTTGCATTTTTATTGTATATGAAAAGGAAAAATTTACTTCTGATGCTGGTTTTGTTTTGTTTTTAGTTTAATTGAAAATACCCAGGCTGACTGAGGCAGGTGCCTGTCTAGTGTTAGGAATTCACTTTAAGTTAGTATCATGTCATTTTATTCTTCTCTAGGGGGATTTAATAAAGGATGATTATTGCTTATGAAGTGGATAATCTAAAGAAAAGAATGCAAACCATATGGTCCTACTGAATAGTGTAAATGTTATTTACATTCTCTTAAACTCATTAAAGCAAAGAATCTAATAAGATGTCTAGAAATAAGATGAACTCACTCATGGTGAGACTGAATTAGAAGTAAAACAGTGGCAATTCTCATCCTGGCCAGCTGGACACTGGTCGCACTCCAGAAAATGTTGTTACTCATTAATGAAATATGAGTATGTGACTAACATGTGCTGGCTGTGGTAAGCAGGTCTAATGTTTATAAATATTACACTTCCTCAATTGAGAACTAGATAAGTAGCCTATCTCTTGAGGGATGTGTGTATTGTGTTTAACAGCCTTCCCATCTCTTCTCTTACAGGTTGCTTTTGTTGTTCTGTCTTTCTTAGCAGCCATGTTCTGTTCTTATCCCAATCCAAATCAGGACAAGTGCCCTGGCAACTACACTCACCCACTTAAAGTGCAGACTGTCATAATCATTGCAAAAGTGATCTTGTGGATTCTGCATGTGTTCTTTGAACGATACGTCCACCACCATCACAGCAAAGTCCGAAGCAGAGGTTACTTCTCCATCTATCGATCCACGAGACATCTCAAAAGGCTTCCCCTGGTGATACACTCCACAGGTGAAGTGAGCTTGTTACCTGTGTGGCTTCTCCTGCTCTTGCAAAGCTTTGAATTCTGTAACAGTTGATCATATCTCTTAGGAACTCTCAATCTTGCACACAGATTTACTTGTAAGTTGTGTTTTTTAGTTAGATGGACCTCCTGACTGGCTTCTCTGAGCTGCTAGTTAGATTTCTGTACAACATATTAGTTGCCTGTCCACGAGTGTGAGGTAAACCTGGTCATTAGCAGTTTCCAACCAGAAAATCTTCAGCCAGCAAGGTCTGTCTGTTTGATAGCAGTCTGGATCTGTGTACTTGTTTCCATAGTTGGACATATGGCAAGATGACCCTTCCAAGAAGTACACTGTGATTTATAAATTGAACCCTTTCCACACTCTGCATTTTACTTAAAAGCAGATAAATGGTATAGTGCTCAGCAGCTGCCTGAAACCAGCAAGGTGAGTAAATCTTGCTCCATAAGCAGAGCTGCGTGGTGGGCAAACTAGGACAGCCACCTTCTGCTTTCCATGTGCAAAGCATGGAGGGTGGCACTGTTCTAACCCCCCATATTCTGTGCCTTCACCGGCCAGTGAAAGATGAAGAGTCCCAACACGTAGCTGCTATTTTTCTAAGAGAAACTAATAGCTCTGAAACCCCTCTGACTTCAAGAGAATTTTCCCAAGGAAAAGGCAAGGGAAGCTTGGTGGCTTTTGTAATTTTCCTTCTTGCAATCACTGCCTCCCTACTGTAAGCCTTCTGAATCACTAGACTAAATTTTATTTTGCCAGCATTGGTGGGTTACATGGCTTATCTTGGTAGAAAACGCTAGTCACCTTTCTACCCAGCTGCTAAAAGGCCACATAGTCAACCTGACTGTACAAAACTTCAGGTCATGGCCACTAGGTAGAGCTCTGAAGATGCTTATGTGCAGTGAAAAGATCAGCCTGCAGCAGACTGAAGGATATTTTCGGAGAGAGTAAAAGGCTTGTTTCTGCCTATTGCAGTAAAACAATAGTCTGGAATATTTAACTCAGCCCTGCCTTCTCTTGAGCGTAGTCCATTTCTCCCCACCAAACTGCTTCCCACATCTAAGTATTAAAATGCAGTAAGTTTTGATGCAAACCTAGTTCAGAAGGCTGTGTGCTTCACTACTATGAATTCCTGCAGATATTGCTTCTATCCTGACAGATCAGTTATCTAACAGTATAAATGACAGCTGTATAGTGCCTTAATTTCATTGTCCTAATATATTTAGTGCTTTACTGGGCTAGCTGTCAGAGGTTTTAAGAAGCCCTCACACTTAGAAATGTGCTGTGGAGAGAGGCCATCTAAAGAATCTGGAGCATTGGATTGCAACCTGCAGAACCTTAGGCAAGAATTTGATGTATAATTCAACCTTCTGAAATATAGATTTTATTCTTTATGCCTGATTGTTCTCATTTCAGTTCAACTTTGAGTAATTTGAAAGTGCTAAAGTAAAACTAGGCAACTAGAAGCCTATGTAGGTTCTCCTTGAGCAAAAGTGTTGTCTTTCTCTTTGGTTTGTTTAGTCTCATTTAAACATGCTTGAATTTGTCCCTTGTAGGGAGGTGCCCTCTGGCTCTACTCTGGCTGCAGTTTATTAGTTAGGAAAAGTCTTAAGCTTGGAGGGAATAGATGGCAGCGATAAGGTAAGCAATAGTTTAAGGCTGTGTATATTGGGAATTTCTAGTCCATTCCTCTTGTAGTCGGAAAGTTCCATAAGAAAACCCACAATTTTGCACTACTAAGCACTGAAATGGGACCTCATTTTGTGACCAGCAGCTGTGAGCTGGCATCACCTGCATTAACAAAGCAGCAAGTAATGGATAAATTTGCAAAGTGTTATTGAAGTATTTCAGATACTGGCAATGAACAGGAGATTATTTTCACCTAAGACTGCTACATCTGAAAAGTGTGTGTTTTTTTTCTTGTAGGAAATGCGGCTCTGCTTTTGATTCTGTCAGTCCAGCATTCCTTTCCTGACCACAGTAAAGTGTACCTGTACCTGATCCTGGGGGTCCTGGGCCTGGAGCTGATCAGTTCCCTGACCTGCCTAGTGATTTACACAGGTGAGTGGCAGCTTCCCCTCAACAAATGAGACCTGGAGCCATGGAGAAGCTTAGCTTGCTCAGAGGACAGTGCAGTATTTGGTACCCTGAAACATTTAGCTGCAGGCATAAATACAGACTGACTCTGTGCCTGTAGCAGGACAGCTAAGGCTAGCCTGGATGAGTGGGAAGGCTGGCAGGCTTGATTTGGTCTCTACCTGTTGCTGCATAAATCTGTTATCTTTGTTATCTTAAAAGTACTCATCCAATAAAGTGGTCATAAATGCAGAATTCTTGCAAAAGCATTCTGTATCTTTTGTATTTACTAGGTTGTTCTCAAATGCCTGCACCACAAGTTTGAAGCATTAAATCTGCTTTTAGAACTGCTTCTGGGATTCAAATATGGTATTTGAGCTTATAGTTTGGTGTTCCTCAGCCTCCAAACCTGTAAATCTCCTTTATTTCTCTACTCCCACCTGAAAAGATCCTCTTTGTCTCTTTAATGGAGCAATCATCTTTAAAGCTTTTAATCTGTGCTAGCATGTACAAAATTGTGGTATTTTGTACTGTCACTGTCTTGTAAGGTTAACTGCTGATGCTTTGGTGTAATCTATCAAGACTTGTTAGATACTACATGATCTAAAATATCATTTAAAAAGTGCTTGAATTGAGTAGTTTTTACGATTAGATTAGGGAGCTATTTGGATTTGTCTTGTATGAACTTGAATGCAATTAACTTAAAGACTAGTTGAAAGCACTAAAGGGAGATGAGACAGTAAAAATGCAATT